ACCAGATTCCAGGTGTGGTTGTTCCAGATGACGCCAATGAGGAAGAGGGCCAGAGCTGGGACACCGATGGCGGCCAGCCCATAGATGTAGTTGCGGGCAGGGGAGCAGGGGCAGTTGAAGGCAACAACAGAGAAGAGCTCCTCGCTCCCCACTGTGCCCAGGGCCACTAAACCATTGAAGATCATCACATCTTTGCTCTTGAAGAACAAGGAGAGGAAGCGAAAGTTCTCAGCGATGAGAGCGGCCATCTCGTCCTGGGGGTGAGACGAAGCGGGTACTCCTGGGGGCCGCCGTGCTCAACCTCCTCCCAGCACCAAGGACACACCAATGGAGGGGGAACGTCCTTGGGCCAGCTGATGTACAAGGAACTGCTCCAGGAGCACAACACCTTCACTGCTGTCCCTTCCTTCCTCCTGGCGTCCCTGTCTTGAGCTGGTTGCTGATGGCAGGGATACTTCAAAGGGGCTGAAGAAGGATTCAGCCTAAGCAATGTGTGAAACCTCAGTCATTTCAGTTTCCCACTAAGCTCTCCAAAAGCGTCTCTACAGCAACGATTACCAACAGGACAGCTATTTCTGGCCCTGTCATTTGCACGTTAGTCGTCTTCTCTTTGGTTTTAGTCACCTCCCGCAGAGGCCATTACGGTCAGCGTCGCTGCCAGACACTCGATCTCCCAAGCCTACAACGAAGGAGGACGCTGTGTTACTGGGAAAACTGGACCAGAGCACCAGCACTGATGTATCCCCAGCCCTGACTCATGCTAGCCCGGGCACACAAGGCACGTGCACGCTGGTGCTGCACTGCCTTGAAAGTGCTGTGTGTGGCTTTTACATCCCTCTTAAGACCTGATGAGTTAATATTGAGTAATAGGTAAAGGTTTGTCTTGGAGGATGGCCCTGCTGGTCTGGAGGCAGAGAGATGCAGCATGGGAGGACCAGGCAGGAGCAGCCTCCACTGGCAAGTGTGAGGGGATGCTGAGAAGCTGCTGATACCAGCAAAATTAGTTATTTCCTGGGAAAGTGGAGTTTATCTTGATGTGACCCACGATAAAAATGCCAATAGAGCTGCATCAGCAATTACGTAGGAGTTTTCTTGCTAGGATTAGGTGTGGCAGGATGATCTCCTCCTCTCCCACAGTGGGTTGACAGGACCGTACTCCCTGTCATAGCCCACAGTCTTGGCTCAGCCTTGAACTGCTGGCCTGAAACTGAGCCCCTCGACCTGCACAGCTTATTGCCAGAGATGCACTTTGCTGCTGGTTGCCTGTGCAGCTTTCCTCAACCTCTTCTCCCAGTACAACACTGGTTATACTGGGATGCCCACCCCACCCCTAGGGCAGGCACTCAGCGCCAAGAAGGAGAAAGCATGTACTGTGATCTTTCTGAAGGACAGGGAAAAACTGGGGGGTGCATCCATGTCCTCTGCAGTGATGCCCAGTCCCCCATGCCACTTCCAAGCTGCATTTAATAAGTTTCTTTGTTGAATTTCCATCTTTGCTGCAACCTCACAGGATTTCATGTCAGGAAGCCTTAAGCACCTTACTCGGGGGAGCCCTGACCCACAGCAGGGCTGCTTGAAATCTGCTCTGATGCCAGCATCTCCCAGCAAGGCTTCCCTGGGCCAGCCCCATCTGCAGGGAAATGGCTGCAGGGACACTGGTGCAGGGGAAACATAGGCACCTTAATCCTTATGGTGTCTTGTACAAGGCTTGCTCATGCACTGTGCTTTAAATCCCTGCTGTGCTTAAGTTCATCTGCCCCACCAAATCTTGGCTTACCCCCTTCCCCCATAGGGCAGCAGAGGGGGCAGAAACACGGTTCCCTGTTGTATCTAACCCATGGCATTCCCTTTAAAGTCATGTTGTGATACTGCCAGCCTCAAACACAGGCACCCTTTCGTGTCTTCCTCTATCTTCCTGGTTTTCCATATGCAAAATATCCTCAGCAAAGGAGAAAGACCAGCTGAGAGCAGCAGCCACGTGACGGGGAGCCAGGCCTCCATCTCCTGCTGCCGCGCTTTGTGGTACACCACGCTTGCAGCCAGACGCTAAACCTGCAAACCTGTTCTAGTGCATGGGGTTCAAAACCCTGTTATTAGAGTTACCAGCAAATAGCTCTGATAAACAAAGCCCTGTGATCTTCCTGACAGAGCCTGGCAACTGGCAAACAAAAGTAAGAGAGGATCTGGCCAAGGGGAGTATGCTCTTTTGGGGGGGTTACCCTTCCTCTGCTTGGTGGTTGTGGTGCCTGTCTGGGAGAGAGAAGGGTGGGTAGGAGGGGAGAAGCTGTTTGCAGCAGATCATTTTCTAGCAGTCTCTGTTAAAGTCTTTCCCCAAAACATGCGTGAAAGCAAGGAAAAACATGAAATCACTTACTTGAAAAGTTGTTGAAGCCAGTTCTGGAGCCTTCTCAGCTTCTCATGTGGTTTTTGCTCTGGCTGGGGGGGGTTTCCTGGCAGCATGCGGGGCTGTGCAGAAGCAGGGATGCAGTTGAGGCCGGTGTGATGGGCGATGTGAAAACACCCGTCAGAGTCTGGCAGCTTCCTTCTTCAGTCTGAAACGTGTCCTCGGCTGTCAGCTTTTGGGAGGAGGGAGGAGGTTCTCAGGCCCTGTGCTTGGGTGGGGCGAGCAGCAGGCGCTTGGCTCCTGCTGGGTGCAAGGCTGAGGCTGTGCCTTTAAATGTGAAAAAAATAGAAAAAGAAGAGGAAAGGAAAGGCTGAGAATGAGTCACTGGAAAAAGCACATCGGCCTCTTTCGGACTGGGATGCAGCTGTGCTGAAGCTGTCTGGGACAGCCTGGGGCTTGCTTGGACAACGGGACCAATGGGGTGCAAAAGGGAAACGATGGAGCCCCCAACCTAGGGGTGGATGCGGTCCACAGGGGATGCAGTGGGGACTGGGCTCAACAGAGGGTGGTACCCAAGCTGAACATGGAGCCTGGAGTCACCCTAAGCTGAGGAGGAAGCATGGGAGAAGCCCATGTGAAGGGGCAGAAACTGCTGCCTTTGTGCATAGGATCTGGCTGAGCCAACAGGGAAGGTGCCAGTCTGGCTGGGTTTTCAGGAGAAGCAGGAACGTGCTATATGGGGCAGCGAGGTTTCACTTCCCACTGCCCCGGGTGGAGCAGAGGGGCTGAGCTGCCGAGGGGAGCCATGAATGTGATTTAGTGAGCAGGGTGCATTCCTGCCCAGCTCGGCTTTTCCGCTCGCTGCTTCCTTTGTGGAGCGATGCCTGCGAGGTAGCTGAGGGCGCCTCATTTTCTCCTTGCATTGCTCTCTCCCTTCTGATGTCTCTCTCTCAGCTCCAGCTCCCGCCCAGCTGATTGCAGAGGCCAGAGCTCTCTGGCTTCCTTCCTCAGCCTCTTCCCCATCCCTGGGGTTAAACTCAGCCCTCCTCAGAAGATGTCTTCAGCACAGGCAAATCTTGAGCAACACTCATGATCCCCTCTGCCTGGAGCAAAGCTAGGCTCAGCCTAGTGTTGGTAGCACTGCCAGGAGTTTTTTGACTGAGTCCTCTTTCTGAGCCCCCAGAACTGGGATACCGATGGGTTTATGCAGCTCCCAGGTATTTGAGTGCAGTGCACCCCTTGGCACTCCCACACCTCCGGGGCTGGCTCCCTTCCTGCATCTACCAGCTCGACTGGGGGTCCTGGGGCTCACTGTGTGCTCAGGGTGCTGCTGCTAACCAGGCTCAGCACCAGGACCAGCTGGTGAAATCCCAGGGGCTGTACTGGGTTCCCTAGCGAAGGGTCTCCTCCTGAAGGTGATGAGCCAAAATCCAGCACAGAGAGGACAGCCTGCCTGCTCTACCGGGAATCTCTGCAACTGCTGAAACTGCTGCGAGGGAGCAGAGCTCTGATCCTAAAAATCTAAATTAAAAGCCTAAATTAAAAGCTTAAAAAGCTTCTCTTTGTAATTGCATGCTATTTGTTTTGGTATCTTTATGGCTGTGCTGCGGAGCCCGCCAGCCTGCTTGCCGTTTTGAGGACTCTTGAGTGTGTCTTTTCTCAGTGAGCCATTAACAGCGCTGAGCTGCAAATAATAGGAGTGGAAACTGCCTTTATCTTTCAATCTCCTTTGCTTGTAAATCAGGTTTTGTGCCTATTAATTTCTAGGCAGGTGCCTTAATTAAAGTTTAGGGTGTGAAGATTGATGATAAATCTGTGTTGCTCCTTTCTCCTGAGAGTCAGCCAGATCCAGCCTGCCCTTAACTATGGGCTTGCTAAGGTGCTGAGGGAATTTCCTCGTCATTTTGGTCCTTTGTTCTGCTCTCCCCACAGCCTCTATGGAGTCACACACTGATAATTAAGGTTTATGCAAATGACAGTCCCCAGCAAGTTGGTTTGAACAAGAACACGGCAGCAGGAATTTCAAGGGGATGAGCATTTCAAAAGGGATGTGGCAGGGATGAAACTTGTCTCTCAAAAGGGATTTTCCTTCTGTGTGCTGCTAATAAAATCAGGGCCACAGGGAACGCTCTTCCTGTCTGCAATTTCCATAGGCACCTCGAGGGCCTGCATCCCGTCATCCTCAGTTTCTATGGAAATGGGCAGCCACCTGGTGTTACATAGGCTTCATGGTGCATCCTTGGCTTCTCCTCCAGGAGAGGACCAGGGCTGGCTGCTGTGCACCAGTAAACCACCCCAAGTCGCATCACTTCAGCATTCCAGGCTGGGCCCTGAACCCCCCCTCCCTAGTCCTTTTCATTGCATTCAAGGAAAGAAACACCAACGTCTTTTGTAAACAGCTTTTATAGATCCTTGTGCCTGAGCACAGAGCTTGAACAGTAAGCCTGAATTATTCGTTTGGCCCCTTCAACAAACATCCGGGTGTGCTTTTTACATCAGTCTTTGTGTCAGGGAGGAACCCAGGTATAATTGCAAGGACAAATTGTCCTGCAGCAGGTTTGTGCTAGGGGGTTGGCCTGGCTGTCACCCTCCATGCTGGTGGATGATAGCTGCTCTCCCAGTCTAGATACTGGGCTCTTCACTGAGTACCACCTGTGACACCAACCGCACCATTCCTGTCGCGTGTAATGCAATATGGGGTGTCCCATCACTAGCGTGTTTCTTGGGTCAAATGTATTTTAAAGCTTTCCTTGGCCTGGAAGCTGTGTGTGTCTCTGGGGATGCCATGTGTGGAGGGCAATGGGAAGAGTTTTGGGGTTTCACAGCTTGGTGTGAGACAGGGGCACCGCCAGCTTGTTTCCCCACCAGGGGAGTTTTAATACTGCCTAAACCCACAGCACTGCCCAGTGCTGAGCACAAAGTAAAAGGAAGGAAGTTTTGCAGATCTGGTAGTGCCTGCTTTTGCAACCACCACAACACAAACCTGGTGCTTGGTGGTGTGGGACACACAACAGGCCTGTCCACCTGCCACACTGTGCCCTTTAGCATCCAAGGGCCTCATCCAACATGACACTGAGTAGCCATCCTGCTCGGCACAAAGCTTGTTGCCTGCATTACTAATGCTGTAAAATTGGATGTGAGAGCAGATGGGTTTGTACTGGCACTGCTAAGCCTTTTGGGTGCCCCCCTGAGCCTACCATGGTGCTGTCCCTCACCTCTGCCTGACTCAGATGGCTGCCTGCCCACCCTCTGCAGCCCCTCTCCCAGAAGTGTGGCTCTGCTTGTGCACAGCACTGTGCCCTCTCACACCCAGCTGTAGTAGGCAGCCACCTCCCTTCGGGGCACAGGGGGGTGCATTGGGTGTTCCCCTTCTCCTGCCCAGCCATTGCCGCTGGGGAGGGCAGGCGGGTGGAGGTGCAGCGGGGGCTTGCATCGGTGCCAGCTCTTCAGGGCCATGTTCATGGTGTCCCAGTCGGTGATGCCCAAGAGCTTCTCAGTGGCTTCCCCTGCATCTTCAGGGGCTTTCCTGGGCAGGTGGCAGCGAGCAGCCACCAGGTCCGTGCTCATGCCCTCGAAGAACTGCTGGATGCAGACCTTGGCAAAGCTCCTGGCATGCTCCGTGCATGTCTCATCAAACAGCTTCCGCTCAATGTCGATGTAGTGGGACCAGTACCTGCTCTTCAGGAAGGCGGCTTGGGTGAAGCAGGGCCGGAGGGATCTGACCAAGAAAGCCAGCATGGTCATCAGCAGCACAAAGCACCAGCCCAGAGCCTGCAGAGATGAGGGGGGAACCAGATCCATCACAGGCAGGCAGAGCATGGTGCTTCCCACCAGCCAGCAGGAGCCTCCCAGGCTGCAAGTGAGCCTGGCTCCACTTTGGGTTGTTTGAGGTTTGACTGCATTTACATTGCAAAACTGGACGAGGAGACCCTACATCCCATGTCAGTGCATCTGTGCTGATACCTTGTTCAATGCACCTGCATCGGCAGCCAGTGACCGTAAATAACACCAGACTGAACCCTGCACCCAGCCCTCAGTCCTCCCTCCGATACAACTGCACCTCACTTGGGTCTAGGCTAGTCTGTGTCCTCTGGCTTGTCACTAACTTTGTTCCAGGTACTCCCTGGGTTTATGCAGCTGTCTAATCCTTTTCCTGATCTGTTTGACTTAGTAACATCTATTGAGGATGAGCAGCAGTGAAAGGCTCCTCTGTTAATGGGGTCTGACAGGAAGGGTGAGATGAGGGCAGAGCCAGGACCGGTCTGTCTTGTTCACCATCTGTCCTAGCTCAGGCTGCCACCAGGCTGGGGAGGTGAACTGCATTGTAAAGGCATCTCCCTCCCTAAAAGAGCACCTGGGAGGGGGTGTCTAGGTAGCACCTCTTGTTTTGCAGCTCCCAGTTCTTCCTCACAGCTGGTAATTGGGATCTACCCAGGAAAATCTGTTTTGTGTCTTTGGAGAAGATCCTGTGCTTCTGTTTCTCTTAAACTGGGGATAATAATTACTGTCTGTCCTAAGGAGATCAGGGAGAGGAGCTGCTTTTAAACAGGAGTACAAGAATGGCCAGTGTAGGTCAGACCATCCTGTCTCCAATGTGGCCAGAAGCAGAGATTTTGAGGGGAATTAAGCTGAGGACAAGCAGTTAGTGGCACTTCTTCATTTGTGGTTCCCTGGGATGGTTAATAAACATACATCAGCTGCTTTCATGCGAGAGGCTGAAGTTAGTGGCATACATGGTTGTCATCCCATCACTTGCAACACATTATAATAAGCAGCAAAAGCAGTCATGAGCAACTGGTGGGTTTGAGAGGGTGACAGCCCACCAGCCACCGAGCAACATCCGTGTCAGCCCCTTCTGAACTTGCTCTAAATAAATCTCTTGCATACAGCTTGTCTGTGTACTGCTGCTCTGCAGCCCCAGACTTCCCAGGCAGGAGCAGGGACCAGATTATTCGTGTGACCTACAGCTTGGGTTTCTGCACCACACTGGGGGCATAATTCCCAGAGCTGAGTGAACACTTTGTACCCCTGTAAAATCACCAGTCTCTCCTCCTGCAGCTTGGTTTCAACAAAGAGATCCCTTTGAGGGATGAGCTAAGGCTGGCAGTGCCTAACCCTGAGCCACCAGTGAGGGCATAGCCATGATGCCTCTTACCTGCGAGATGCAGCGCAGGTACCTGACAGCCACTTCATTGGCGATGAGCTCCTGTCCATCATAGATCTCCTTGCAGGGAATACGGGCAAGGACCCGCTTCACGTCCCCTTGGGAGAGGCTGGGGTGGCTGGCATTGCCCAGGGTCTCCACGGGCACCGAGGTGCAGAAGGCACAAGTGATGCACTTGCCATCTAGCAGTGTCACCGAGACCCAGACCACGGGGGCGATCATGGCCCGCTGCGCCATGGAGCAGAACATGTAGCGCAGGACGGCCGGGTCCTTCCCTCTCTGGCCCTGGGGCCGCCTCCACTCCTCCGCCAGCATGGAGACGTTGTTGTTCAGCACAAAGCCCAGCAGGAACAAGATGAAGGGGGGCACCAGGAGGATGCCCAGCCCATAGGCCAGGTTGTAGCGTGGCAGGCAGGGGCAGTTGAAATCAAAGGCTGAATATATCTGGGTGCTGGCTAGGGCCATGATCCCACAGATGCCATTCATGAAGGACTCCTGGTTGGACTGGAGAAACTGGAAGATCATCCGAAACTTGTCCATCTTCCCTTGATGCAATTTTTCTCCCACTGGGGTCCAAGCTGTGGCCTCAGTTTACTTCATTCTTTCAGCCCCTCTCTTCAAAGGTGGGAACGACAAGTCTCTGTGCAGTTCACTGATTCATGCATGCACTCTAACAGCCTCAATAGTTAAAGCAGAAAATGAAAACTTTTCTTTTCCTGCTGATTTTTCTGTTTGCAAAAGTTCAAAGTTTGCTTCCTCCAGCTCTTCTTTGGGTCTGTGGGATGTGGGCTGTTTCTGGTTTGTTAAACTTGGCTTCATTCTTCTCTGCATCCCCATTTCTGCAGTATTCCAGCCGCTGGTTCCCTTGGCTGGAGGGTGCAGGTGTTACCATGGCTGTACTCTCCCCAGAGCAATCTGTGCCTTGGGCAGAAAGGGGAGTTGGCTGGTTAGCCTCTGTGAAGCTGTTTGCGAATGCGGGAGGTGGGTGCTCCTCCCAGAACCAAACAGGATGCCCCACCTCTGCAGTGCTGCCACACACAGCAAAGCAGGATGCCAGAGCTTCCCCCATCCTTCCACATCAGCGTCACCACGGCAACACCTAATACAAGCACTGCACAGGTCTGCCAGCCCCTCTTCTGTACCTGCTTCTGTTTCATTCTGCAGTGGGAAGAGAAAAGGAAAGACAGAGGAAGGAGTTTTAAAGCTCTCGGTGCTCTGGGTTATTGTATCTGTATTACTGAAGTCTGTTGGTGGCTCCCCTCTGTCCTGCAAATGTCCACATTTCAGTCAGACTTAGAAGATGATGCCTGCAGCTCCTTGCTTTTCACAGCTCTCTACCCTCAACACTTGCTGAAACATCTTCCAAACCCTGGCTCACATAGTCTGGCAACATATAGAGGCACTTAGTGCTTTTCCTGGCTTTAGGGTTGGAGAAAAATAGGCACAGAAAGGAGAGAGGGCTTCGCAATAGGAGCACAGAAGACCTGCTCTGCAGGTGGGTCCTGCTGAGAGTGCCTGATCTCTGGGTACATCTGGTTTCTCAGGATATGCTCCCTGCCCTGCAGAGTTCTGAGACTGAGGTTTTTCCGTGAAATTTATTCTTTTCACCCACTTTCAATGAGCATTTCTGAAGGGCTTGAGTGCACTTTGCTCTGAACATCAAATTCTGGTTCCAGTCACCCACTCCACTGGGTGATGGAGGCTGAACGATTTTCTTGCAGCTGCTTCTTGTGGGTATAATCCCAGCCCTTGGTAAATTTGGGGTGTGCAGGAACTGGGAATACAAGGAGGATGTGTAAATCCTGCTGGTGACCTCCTTGGCCCAAGGGCAGCTGCTGTTCCCTGAGGGATGGTGTTTCCCAGGCTGCCTGCAGGCATGGGCTGTGCAGAGCCCTTCCTGCCCATCAGGCCAGTGGGTACCAGCAGCCTGGGCCCTGAGGGTGCAGCGGAGCTGCGGCTCCTCTGAAGATCACACAGATCCTGACAGGAAGGGCAGAGCAAGCACTACCTGAGCCAGCAGTGCACATCCATTTAGCAGGAGGGGCTGGTATTTGGCGATGTGCCTTGACCTGAGGCTAAGGTGTCTAAGGACACAGCTTCCCATGCAAATAGTGCATGGGGCAGGGAGGACTGAACTAGCTGAGTGCTGGGCTGGTCCATTCATCACAGGATTGCTGACGGTTTAGCCGTGTCACTTTACCTGGACTTATTAATTCAGTAGCAACACCAGGTCTGGACCCAAGCAGACCTGAATACCTGCATTCACCTCCCTGCTCTTTGCTCACCTTGATAGAGCCAGCTCAGGTCTGTGTTGGACATGTCCCACATGTTGGTACTGGGGTGCAAAGCTTCCTCATCACTTCTAACCCTTTCCTCTCCCACAGGGTCTCAGTTCAGCTCTTTGCTGTCAGCTCTGCAGACCTGGGAGCTTTCTGATGCAGAGATCCTGTGTGTATTTGTCAGCACAGAGCTGACCAGACTCCTCGCCAGCTTGCCAGAACCGAGACAAACACTGATGAATCATGGCATTTATGGATGGGACAGACTTAGCTCCTAAAGCTCAAACCTAAAAGAAGTGGATTGTGGTGTTAGTGCTCTCCTACACCTCCATTCCCGATTCACAAAGCAGCTTTGATGCACCAGTTTGCTTCCTCAAGATGGCCAAAATATGTGGGCATACTGGGACTACAAGTGGCCATGAAACAGATGGTTGCAGTATTGACTGCCTGGAAGGCATTCAGTCCCTCTGGTCCAGGCACCAACTGTGGTGTTGACACAAGTATCAAGATACATCTGACTGTCTGGGCACCAGCATGGCTGCATTGGTGGCTGTGGGACATGTCACCAAGGCAAGCTGTACATAGGGTGGCATCCAGGAGGTGCTTTTCCTCAAGGTTTTGCAGTGCATAGGTATAGAGCTAAGAAGCCAAGCTAGGTGTTTTGACCATTAGTCAGCGCTTCAGGTTCTGATGTCTCACACCAGCCCTGGGGCTCTGTTGACAATGCCAAGTTCACCCTGAGATGCCACCACAGATGTGAGCATGAAGCACGTCTTTGCTTTGCCCGCTGTGGAAAGGTTAATTCCATGATCTCATCAAACAGGAAGAGATTTGGCTACATGAATATAGATGAGGCTTACTGTATGGCTAGCAAGGAGCTCAGGTTGGCTTCCCTGTTCACCTGGTGAGTGGCTTTTTGAAGGGCAGTTCACATCAAAGCCTGCGGGAATCAACCTCATAAAAAGAAGAAAGCTTTTTTGATCTCCAGGGAAACTGCCTGTTGTTAAACATGAATGAGGGGTCTGAGCCTGCTTGCTGTACAGCATTGGCAGTTCTCACAGAAGCCAACAGCAGGCCAGTGGGATTCAAAACAGACCCCATAAAAGCCAATGCCTGGGTCTTCCTTCCCATGTTGTCTTATTAAGGAGGAACTTATTTTCATGAGCTTGCCAACAGAAAGTTCACTCCAACTGATTTGCAGGAGAATGTAGGGCTGGTGCTTCCTTCCATGATCCCAACCTGCTCGTTCTTTGGAAACCAGGTCCTGGGAGACATGGTAAATGATACATGCCCAAGTGTCTCCCAGCATGGGGTCCTGTGTCTGGACACTAAGACAGACACCAAGCCAGGGGTTCAAGGAAGGCTCCGTGTGTCCCAGTCAATGTAGGACATAGAGAGGAGGGACATCAAAATGGTCACAGCCCCCATGGGGAGAATCTGGGAAGAGATTGGAGAAGTTGTCCTTGCAGTCAGCCCTGCGGTTTCACAGGCTTTTGGCAGGTGAGGATCCCTCAGCATGTCAGACGTGTCTATAGGTCAAGCATCAGACCAGCCCCAAGAGACAGAGAGCTGCTAATGACCCTCTCTGCTCCCACCACAGGAGGGTACACACTCCTAGCAGAGCTGGTGGGAAGGGACCTCTGGCCCATGCTCTGTGCTCAAAGCACGTAGGGTCATGTCTAACAGGGTTGGGAATATCTGCATGGGTGGAGGTGCCACCACCCTCAACGTAAGTAAGTGTTTTCTTCTGTTTAAATGGAATTTCCTGCATTTTGGGTTTGTGACTGTTGCTTCTTGTCCTGTCATGAGGTACCAGACACCATTTTCCATAATGGAAAAGAGTTCTCTGGCTTTAAAGGGGAGCACAGCATGGGACTCAGGGAGGCTGGGAGGGATGCATACCCACAGCTCTGCCCAATTGGAGATACTCTGTGACCAGGCTGATCCTCCCAGCAGCATGTGAACCTTTGTGAACCTTCAAAAGTCTATGGCAGCGCCCTTAAATCCTCTGATTTTGTCCCTCCAGGCATAGGTAACAAAGCTGTTTGTCTTCCCCTTTTTTGCATTCCATATTTTGTGTCCATCCTGGGATGACATAAAACCTGAGAACATGGAAAACAGCATGCAAAGGGGAGCTGTGGACCTCTGCCCTGAGCTGGTTAGGAAAAATAGATGATTTGACTAGTGTGGAGTAGTGCGTCTGAACTGAGTCTCAGCCTGAGATTTGTCGTGTCTGATAGAAGCAAATCAAAGATGAAATTCAAAATGCAACGCTGATTTTGAAAGAGAGCTCACTGGACCTAAAGAGCTCCTGGTGGGAAGACAGCTGTAATATTCCTAACCAGCATGGGCCACAGCTGGCTTTGTGCCTCCTCTGAGCACATCCCAGGGAGCTCAGGGATTCATCCAGAGCTGATTTTGCTATGCAAATAAGAAAAGCTCTGCAGCCCATCCCTCTGCACCCCACAGCCCCTGGCTGGGCCTCGGTTGGCAGAGGAGTGCAGCAGCCCATGTGTGGGCCATGGAGTTATTTGGCTCTCCTGTTTCACCTGTACCTCCCTGACCCCATGTACACAAACATGCTGGGAAGGAGGTCACCCACCTCCCAGCAGCTCAATTCATTAATCTGGGGGATTGTCATCCCCATCTATGCATGCGTGGCCTATGGGACATTGCTTCTTCACTCCCCCTTCTCACAACCCCTCCACCTTACACTCCTCCCTCTCAGGGACAAAGTGGGGATCAGCGCGAGCCTCAGCCTGCAGGAATAGATGTGTTTGTGTAGGGTTAGTTTGCAGGAAAGAGTTTAATACATCCAAGCAGCGATGCTGGACAGAAATACCAAACTGGCACCATGGTTGGCACCATCTACAACAGTGGCTGGAAAAAGGCAGGTAAGAGAGTAATTATCATTAGAAGCTCAGAGATAAGGTTACATTTAAGCATTTTTGCTACTAAGGATAGAAATGCCCAAGTATGTGATGCAAGGATGATCACAGTATCACAGTATGTTAGAGATTGGAAGGGACCTCAGAAGATCATCTAGTCCAATCCCCCTGCTGGAGCAGAAACACCTAGATAAGGTTACACAGGAACGTGTCCAGGCGGGTCTTGAATGTCTCCAGAGAAGGAGACTCCACAACCTCCCTGGGCAGCCCTCTGGGTAGATTGGTTTGTACTAAAATCTAGCATGGAAGTGTTTAAAATCTGTATTCAGACTTCTCCAGAAGAGTCAATATATCCTTCCCATGGCCCAGTGCCAATGCTTCGAGCAACTCCCTGAACCCCAGCACACCCATGTGGCTCTGGATATGATAATCAAAGCCTTCATCTCCTTCTGCAAATCCAACCCAATCCAGGGACACTTATCCAGAGGCATCTTCAGCTAAATTTATGTTGCTTCATGATTTGCAGTGTGTTGCCATATTTTGTTTAGAAAATGCATGGAAATATTGATGGGTTGTTAGATGGAGGCTGAAATGTTTGGCAGCTGGGCTGGGGGCAGCCAGGCTCTCAGCAGATGGGAAGATATAGGAGGTGGTTTTGCCTTTCTGGATAAATATTGCTGTGGTATTAGAGCTGGCGATTAAACCATTTTGGTGTCAGCACTATGAACTCTCCGAATAGAACTGAAATGGGCAGGAGCTCTTCACATCTCTGTGAAGGTGATGCTCTACTCGGTTTGTTTTCACAGATGGGTGTTGCTGCCTTGGTTAAATCCCTTTAAATCCCCTTTTATCACAGCTGTAAGGAGCTGGAAAGTCTTTAATATGATAAAAGTGATATGCAAAAGCTCTTGGTTGAGAAATTTTATGAATGGTGATCGAGTCTGGGACCTTTGGATCTTCAGAGCTACTTTATTTTGGAACCTGGAGCAAAACCTTTGGGACTGGGGGTTTGGAGGAAGATGTGAGCACCACTGCTCATCTGCCCACTGCTCCTTGCCTTGTGTAGAGGTGCAGCAGAGCCCCTTCAGTGTCTGCAGGACAAAGAACTCTTTACACATCAGTGTGCTGGGGGAATTTGGACCCAGTTCTAGGGCTGTCTGCCCAGGGCAGAGGCGATCTCTCTTGCCCCAGGGGATGCCTCTGGGTCGCTTTGCTGACATCCAGAGGAGGTTTCTCATAGTACCACATTTTCAGCAGTTTGTTCACCTGGTCCTGATGTGTGATGCCCCGGAGAAGATCTCGGTCTCCTTCGGCCCCCTCTCCCTCCCTCGACAAGCTGAAGCTGTGCAGTTTGATCTCTTGCCGCATGCTTTCAAAGAAGTGGAGGATGCATTTGTGAGCAAAGAGCCGGCTGTGCTCACAGCACGTCTCCTCAAAAATCTTCTGCTCGATGTCAATGTAGTTGCTCCAGTGGCGTGCCTGCAGGAGGGCGGCCTGGTTGAAGCAAGGTCTGAGCCACCGGGCGAGGAAAGCTGCTATGATAAGGATCAACAAAATACTCCATCCGAGTGCCTGGGAGATAAGAAATGAGCAGTGGAACAGGAGTAGTGCAGACACAAAGACAGGCACAAGCTCTTTGCCTGTATCACCAAGACAGAGAATTTGTGTGGCTGGAGGGAAGAGGTGGCGTATCTGGGCTCCTGTCCCTGAAGTCCAGCACTCAGAACTGCACTCAGAGGGTGGGTGTAGTCTCCTCCCAGTGAATATTGAGTATTTATCTGTGCTTCAGTAGTTCAGTAGGATAACTGTTTGCAGTTAGTCTGGAGCCACCAGATATTTGCTCTCCTTTGGTCATCACCTATCTCCAGTCAGATCTTCATCTGCTACCTGCATTTGCTCTAGGGCCCAGGAGTCCCACAGCAGGGTGAAGACAGTCCCTACTGCATGCAGCTCCCTTTGGTAAGAGGGAAGGGCTTGTTTTCAATGCCCTCCCACTGGTCTTCATCCTTGACCCGGCATTCCTGTACCAGCAGTGTGGGTCAGACAGGGCTCCACTCTCCATCGTGTCCTGTTCTACTATTCCTGAGCAAGCTGCTTTTGTCTTTCTCAGCTTATGCTGTCCTTAAAACAGCAGGTCCTATCTGCAAGGTTAGCATTTAGAAAGGTCTTCTGGCACTGGATAGAGCCTAAGGACCCATCTATATTCCTTGCAAACTGCTTTTGTTATCTGGGTTTAGAGGTTGCTGATTCTTCTAGAAACAAAGTTCAGTTGCTTAAACCATCCTTTATTTCCCTATCTGAGTGACACTGGAGAATATCCCTGGGGGTGGCAACATCTGGGGGCATAAAGAAGCAAAGAGCAGTTTTGCTCTCAGCCTGACCATGGTGAAGCTATCACAAGCCAAGGAAAAACAGGAGCAGAAGATGCATGCCCCAGGCACCTCACTGACATGGGGGGCTCTGCCATCAGTGACCTACCTGGGACCAGCAGCGCAAGTACCTGGACACTGCCTTGCGGGACGTGTTGTTCCTCATGAGCTCCTCATCCTTGCAGGGCACCTTGGCCAGCAGCTGCTCCACCTGCACTGGGCTGGCGCTGGCAAAGTCTACAAACTCCTCAGGGTCCACGGAGCTGCTGAAAGCACAGATCAGGCATTTGCCATCCAGGAGAGTGACTATGATCCAGGCGGCAGGGGCCACCATGGCTCGCTGCATGATGGAGGAGCACAGGTACCTGCAGTAGGAGAGAGAGAAGCGAGTGGGCAAATGTTGGTAGCTTTCTCCTCATCCACAGCCTTGATGGATTTGGCCCTACCAGAACCAGGGAGCCTACTCCTAGAACTGTTCCCAGCATTTCTGCAGCTTCTTCTGCTCTGGGATATCTTTGTTGGTGCTTCCTCCCAGTGAAATCTGTGCAGTGCATGGCAGTGCTCTGCATGCTGCCTGCATTCAATGCGGTACATGGTCCTCTCACTTTGTGCTTTCCTCAGCTGTATGCTTATATCTCCCATGAACAAATCCTTGTCAGCTCTCCCTTGTCTTCCTCATTCCCTCTTTGTTTTCTCATCAGCTCAGTCTCTACCTTGAAAATCACTTTTCTTTGCAGCCTTTCTTGTCCCACTCTGCTGAATTGTGCACTGTGTAAAACTGCATGTAACAGATTGAGTGGGATTCTCCTCTCTCTTCCACCAGTGCAAGTCAGTTAAGAACATCTAAAGGGAGGGAAGCCACAAGGCTATCAATAAAAAATGACTGTGATGGAAATGCATTTACCATGCTCCTGCTCCTCCAGGCTCATGTGGGAAGGTCTCGGGAGCTAAGCTTAGAAGAAAATTAATCACCAGGAGGATCAAAGGTATGGAGGTGAAAGCTAAGTGAGAGGTGGAAGGAGGGATGTCGTTCCCGATGCAAACCCCACCTGATGACAGCCAGGTCCTTCTTTCTGCGCCCCTGTGGTCGGCTCCATTCCTCCAGCATCACCAGGGACTGTCTGTTGAGTATGAGGCCGCACAGAAAGAGGGCGATAGGAGGTACAAACATGATCCCCAAGCCATATGCCATGTTGTACTGGGGCAGACAGGGACAGCTGAAGTCAATGGAGCTATACATCTTTATGCTAGCCAGTGTTAACAGCCCACAGATCCCATTCATTACAGACTCCGAGTTCGACTGAAAGTACTGGAAGATCATCCGAAAACGGTCCATTATGTTCTTTTGGCCAGGGATGCTTCTCCTGGGGAATCCCTCCCGCAGCTTGCCTTCCTTCACCCCTTCTGCTGCTGCCACAGGGCAGGGACACAGCTCAGCCCACAGTCAGATGGGGCAGGAGGATGGGCTTGGAAGCTTGGAAGGGAGCTGCTGTGGCTCCCTGTTCTGGGACTTCCTCACTGGCACACAGCTCTCACAGGTCTGTCTCTCGCCCAGTGCTTATCTTCTGGGTCAGCTGGTAGCTTCTCTAGGTGAGCAGATGGATGCAGCCTCTGGCAGCTGTTTTCTCTGTGCTGTTTTTCATTTTCAGGGCTGTTCCATGTGACAGCTTTCAGTAGTTCTAGGTCCCTCCCTCTTGGAGATGCTAACTCTCAATGGAGAGACATCGGTGGATGACTGTGAGTTGCCTTCTGCACTGATTGAGGGCTGTTGAGTGATTAATGAGATGGGAGAAACCAGACTTATTTGTGTTACTGCTGCTGCTCCATTTATTTTTGGTGAAGCAGGTCCACAGCCCACAGTGGGGCAATGGGGAGGCAGGAAGCATATACCTGGCTTCCAGCAAACCACATCACCGTGAGCTCAGATTTCCCTATGGAAATGGGCTGAAAGGACCAACCCTTCAGTCAGGAGGCTATGAGAATCAATAGCTTACAAACCCTGGAATGGCACTTTGGGGCAAACGCTGCTCTTGGCTACATAGCACACATGAATTGTGCCATTTGTACCACACTTACACCCATGTCCAAGGGCCTTGTGCTGGGGCTCACTCCTGCTTCCCATTGGAGGGCAGGGTGCAGTCAGAGCAGCAGCCTCATTTGTCCCAAGGGACTGGATTATCTTCTTCTGTCCATTTTAAATACTCCAGAAGCAGTTCTTCTTTTCCTCTCTAAAGTTTATTTCACAGATAAATACAGCTCCTTGCCACACAAGGGAGTTCCATTTTGTCTGATGTATGCAGCTTCATTTTCCTCTTCCCAGCTCTCATCTGAAAACATTTTCAGATTGCTTCTTATCCGCGGTTTCCACGTGCATTCAGGAAAGGGAGGAAAAAAAGTGTTAGATTTACCTATTTCATTAAAAAAAAAGAGTACTTCATCTCCACTGAAACACACTTGCTGCCAGCACTGAGGTTTCTGCCCATGATGGCTCCCATTGCAGGGCTGGTTACTGAAAGGGAGCAGTGGGAAGGGGTACCTAGAGCTGCTGAGAGGCATGTACTCACAGAGCCGCATTGTCATCTCCTCCAATCTAAACAGCAACTTGCGCAATTACTTTAATGAAATATAGTTCCATCAACCATAACATTTGTGTTCCCCTTTACCTGAGAGTGGAAATGACTGTTAACATTCATCCATCAGCAATAAAAAATTGGCTAATAGGCTAATGTTTCCATTTGCTATTATAGGACATCAGGACCCCTCCATTTTGCTGATTAGGGCATCAGAACCCTTGGCTGACCTGCACACGTGATTTTTAGCCAGGGTGCAGCTTGTCTTGGTTCCAATTGCTTTAATGTACGTTGGGTTTCTCATTTGATGGCTTGCATTTATGTGCTGACTTGGGTTCAGGAAGTGTTATGCATTCTCTGTAGAACAATTACTTTACAGAAATCATTTTGCCTTTCCAGCTTTCCTGGGCAAACCCTCAGTAAAGGCTGAATAGTTCCTCACAGCTCAGGAAAATAGAATGTAAAAAGAGAAGGAAGCATCCTCTGGACAGCACAAGCTAGGAGGGAACTTAGCTTTTCCCAAATGCAATTCCCTGGCCTGGGCATCAGAGGTCTGTAATTGGTGCCTCAGGGTAACTACTGTGCTCTATTGTGATCTGGGATATCACCAGTAACTCAGACCTGAGACATGGGGTTGTTGAATCATAGAAGACAGGGAACATTGCTTTATTTGTGGCAAAAGACATTGGGAGCTTCCTGGGAAGAGAGAGAGAAAGGGCCCTTGAGGTAAGTAAATTGTTAGACATGGGCAAGTGTTCAAAATCATTCTCAGAACTAAGCATGTTTGGTTACTTTCAGTTCTTAGGGTGAAACAAAGAAGAAGCAATGACTAAAATCATCTGTCTCCACTCCTCCATCAAGGGGACCCACCCCCCCTCCCCAGCAGTGTGATCACCCCTCTGAGCCTCCTGCAAGGCTGCCTGTGACTCTCTGGGGTTGTTGGATGGGGGCACCATCCTCATAGGAAGGCAGCTGCTCCTTGGCAGCGAAACTCCATACCCGTGTTGGAAGCTGTTGTTCTTCTGCACGTCTTTTGGACATCCATGTTGGACAATCCTTTTGCTTTTGCCTCAGCACTGCAGAACGTGGGGAGAGGGAAGGGGATGCCCTTACTCTTGTATGTGAGTAAAATACCAGCTATAGGATTTTTTCCTTAGATGGTGAAGGTGGCGAGTACAGGTGCCCTTTTGGTGAAGTACAGCCATCAGTCCCTCTTGCTTTGGGGAAAAGAATGATTTAATCACCTACATTTGAGCTGGTCATTTAAAATAGGAGAAGTTCAGCACAACAGTATGGTCAGTTTTGTGCATGAGCCTGTGATGGTGGAGCAGCACTGATGCTGTGTGCACAGAATGCATGCCTTCAGGGTGTGTGCACATCCAGAGCAAGCCCTTATGCATACATTTAGGAGGGGAGCAGAGAGCCAGCAGCACAGTTCACAGTGTATCTGTGCCACAGCTCCGTGCTCACTGTTGGGTTGGTCCCCAAAGGACAGAGGCAGGAGCACTGTGGCTGTGCCAGTAACCCTGCTTGCTCCCTGGACACCCCAGCAATGAGTGAGGTATGAGTTGCTTTGTCTCCCTTTTCTGTGTTGGGACTCTTTCCCCCAGGAAAGCCAATGTCCAGGAGCAAACATTTTACCCATCCCCAAACTTGCTCTGCTGGAAACAAGCCATTGCCATAAGCACTTGTTCTAGCAAGCAGGGAAGGCCCCATGAAGCTCTGCTGGGAGCATCCCTGGCCCATGGCGGTGTGTGTGAGAGATGATGGGTTACCCCATTAGGAGCTGTTTGCAGTTGTTTTTAGCTTTGACAAATTATTTAATTACCTGGACTGATTTTTCTTTTTCAGTCTGAACATCTGCCTCAGGCAAAATATTTTAGGAAACTGTTGCACAGGTTGGGCAGCTGCTGCTGGGATGATGGAAATGCACAAAACCAGGAGGTATTTTGCCCCGTTAAAAGCAGGGGGCTGCAACTGATCTGCAAAGGCACAGCAACTCTGACACCCACCTCAAGGGCTCGGTGGTGACTCCAAGTGGGTGCTGCCGTTGGGTTCCCTCAATCAGCTCCACAGGGGCTGAGTCACCACCCTGCTCCTTTTTGTGCCTCTGTCGCTGGCTGTGGAGTTACCCTGGGACAAACTGAGGTGCAGAACTGGCCCAGCACATTCTTGGGCTGCATGAGCTGACTGTGAAATTAAATTAGTTGTGAATGTCTCTTCCTTCCTAATTTCTTGGCTCATTAATTGCTGCACGGGGATGCCGCCTCCATGTGATGTTTGGTTAAAATGAGCACTGTATAGCCACGACGAGCAGGTACCAAGCAATGTTTCCCTTTATGGGGTCGTGTGTTACACATGGACACCCAGACCTGGTGCTGAGAGAATGAGTAAGCGAAACGCTGTGTCCCTTGGGTGTGATAGCAACTGCCTTCTCGCAGGTAACCGAGGGAGGACTGTGGTCCAGTCTTTGTTTTTGGCACCTCATAGCTGGTGAATTGGAAAACTTCTTATATCTGGCCTTGTTTATTCAGAGGACAAGGGTTAATGCTTTTTCAAGGCTTAGATTAAATAAGTCATCTTGTGTTTAAGTGAAGCCCATTAACACCATGAATCACCTTTACCAGCTTCACTGCCTACAGACCAGCATCTTGTTCCTCTAGTTCAGCTGGGCCTGTTGCTAACCCCCAGGCACACAGGAAGCCACCCTGAGATCCTGTCTATACTTGACCAGCAGGCTGCAGCTGAGCTTTATTATCTATTACCTTTTTTGTACAGTTTGTGGACCAGTCTCCCACTGGTCTCTGAGGACAGTGGAGCAGCATCTTTGCCTCCTTTCTCCGCAAAACAAGCAGAGGACTTTACCCCTCACTGCCTGTGAATCTTTCATCATCTTCAATTTATCACAGGAGAAGTCACCTTCCATTTCAACTGCCCATGAAGAAGGACATAGTCAATATATCCACCCTCCAAACACTATGCAGACTCCTTATGGTCACTGGTAGCAGAGACAAATTAAAGCACTGTTGGCTCTGTGGGGCAGGGACCACCTGAATCTGAGTATTTTTTGCACAGCTGAGTACTCAGCCCAGGCCAAGCAAATAATGAGTAATGATCATTAAATAATTAATGAGGTGCTAGCAAAAATAATGGCAGCATTGTGAAATGTAATTTGTCTTCACTAATGATGTTCTCTGGAGATTAGATACTCCTGTATTCTGTCTTGTAACTTCATTAAAGCATCAACATGCAGCTGACTGCCAGTGAGGAAATATATGGCTTAGTTATGTGTTGTTCTTCTTAAGAGCTCATTATATATTGCTTTTCTGGCCATTAGCACTCAGCTTTTTGGCTTATGTGGAAGCCCTGTTTTCCTGAACTCTGCATTATCCCAACCTTGACCCAGTTCACACGATTTCCGACTGAGAGATCTTTTTGCAAGGCCATTTACCTCCTTGGCTCAGAGCTGATGCTGCAGTGAAATCATCTGAGATGAACTGCTTCTTATCTCAAGAGTGAGTTAGAGAGTAAGGTGGAGAATTAGGGAATCAGGCTGATCTCTTAATATCATGGCTTAGTGATTTTCAGGCTTCTACTGATTTGCTAGTACTCACATATCTTCCAAGGTAGGTGCAGGCCCCAGATAGCAGATTTAAGGCAGCTGACATTTAAGTAGCTTTTCTTGTTATTTTTTCTCAGATTCTAACAATTAAACTGCAGCCCTGGGGATTCCACAGTCTGCAGGCTGAAAATCACTGATAGCAAGCTCTTCTTGAGAGATTGGTTTGTCTTCAGTTTGCAGAGGTGTCATAGAAACTATTTAGGTGTTTAATAGGAAATGGAGGCTGGGTGGTGAAACACATCTCTGCTGTGACCCTGGGTCTCTGCAGCCACTGGGGTTTGGGGCTGACACAGTCCTT